AGGATCGCGACAATAACCTCCGTGCGGGTGGTCCAGGGGAGCATTGTCCTCCGCCTTAAAGGGCCCATTTATCGCGGCAGCGCCTCTGGTATTGTTATCGCCGGCGAGAGCGAGTGTAAGCAAGTAAGCCTTGTACCCCTGCCCGTACTCTGTGGGTGCCCATTACCCTTTCTTGCTCTCCATCTCTTTCACCCTCGAGGGTAATCCCAGTGGTGCCGAGCAATGAATCCCAAGCGTCAGAATTAGCGTAAGACGACGGAGGAGGGCCTTTATCCCTCCCTCTCCCGCTCTTCCATCACATCATGCAGCTCGTAAATCTTTGCGATTACGTTGCTTTCTTTTTCTTTACTGAGGAGCTGCTGCATTGCTTTCTTCCCACCTGCTTCAGGGATATTAATTTTCCATCCCAGCTCTTTGGCTTATTTCACCTTTGCTCTGCTTTTGCATTTAAGAAGTAAGTATAGTCTCGTATCCAGGTTTTGGCTTGAATAATATTCAATACGATGAATTGGCTCTCGGAATCACGGGAATCTTGGAAGAACTTCACGTGTGTTTAAAGGACCTTTCTTCCTATCAGACGTGTTTGATCTAATATCATTGTTCAAACGACTGATGTATCAGGTAAATATCTTGTTAAAGTTTTTACTCGTACTAATGCTATTCATGGAGATAACGAGCAGCTAGCTGCACGAGATTAGTTTATTGTACATTTCAAACAAATTACCCCGTACTTTCCAGTGAAATCGTCAAGTGAGTGTCGTTTTCTAATACAGCGTGGAAATAGTTCATAAAAATCGCATGCTGTCGACGTCACAACTCAGCTTGTCCGAGCAGTTTTACGCACTTGTCGTGCAAAGAAAGTCATAAAACAGCCCCCCACCCCCTATAGACACACCTATTCCTCCGCACAGGAAAACAAGATGGAGTGAAATATTCATCCTGTTTGTTCCTCCCATACGTATACGACAGTCTGTACATCGCAAGGTTGGCACACACAAAGAAACGGGATAAAAGCCCCTAGAGCGGAGCTTTCAAGGTATCCAACTGCTATCTCCATCCCTCGGCGAGTGGATCACGTAGGGAGCAGAGCGTACGCGCGCGCGATAACGTTTTCGTCGCAGGGGGGGTCTTGCATTCGGAGCGCAAAGGGAATGGAAAAACTGGCGCCGGCAGCGGTGCGAAAATCACACGCTCGCCTACCCTCGCGGCCTTTTGCATCGGGGCTGGGTAAACGTACGTGTCCCGACCCCCAAGAAACTCATCTACCACTCGGATCATTTCGTGCTGCTTCTCCGATTTCATTCCGTGATTCTTTTTTTTAAAAGAGTTTTTCATTTTTACGGTTCCATAAAGCCTCTTTCGTGCCCTTTTTCTGAGTAATTTCCATTGACCGACGCTGCAAGCTCTACTTTCTCGTTTTTAGTTTCGTGCAAAGATTCTCTTTGAGCGTGGATTCCTCGAAAACGTCCATTTCTCAGGTGATGACGCGATTTTTACCCGACACGTGTTACTGATTACACACCAGGCGAGTTTTTTATGCACTGTTTCACGAATATTCCTGTTATTCGATAAGATTGTCGATTCGGTGTTTCATTATAATCAAGGTTTAAAGTAGTAAAATGGACTGTTCTTTAAATAACGAGAACAAAATGATTGTTATGGATCAGTATGATTTGAAAATTTAGCCATCACTCAACTATAGACTAAGCTACCTAGTACCGAATTTTAGAGCTTGAACTATCTTGAACATAGTACAATTTTTTTTTTTTTTTTTTTTTTTTTTTTATAGAATTACTTCCTCTTAATATTTTACTTATCACTTATAAAAAAAAATCCCATTCAATCGACATTGCTCGAATTTGTTGACTACTCTAACAGAGTCCAATTATTTTTATTCGAGAACAAAAAAAACCTTCGATGGTTTTGAAAAATAATTGTCACGCTTCTCCATACTCACGTGCACACATGATGCACAAACATACGTATGGGCATGAGAGCAGCTGGTCCATATACGTGAAATCGTAGACTACTGTCAAAATCAATACTCTTGCGCCTCTGGGCTGGGACACGCACGTTTGGTATACACGCGGGTGAGACTTCGTTACCGGGGGTGCTTTGTCACCAACACGCGAGAGAGAGAGAGAGAGAGAGAGAAAGAACTTTGCATTGACAGAGACGCATTACGGCTACTTAATCACGGGCCCGCCTGCTTGCGTGGATTTACGATTAATATAAGCCCCCCCTACCCCTCTTGCTCGTGATCGCGGAATGAGTTGGGTTGACGCTGCAATAAATGCTCGCGCAATTAGGCGCCCATTGCTTTCTCCCCTTTGTTCTTTTTCTTGCTTCGTAATTTTTGCGTTTTTGTTTTTTGAAAAATGGCTCCCGATGAACTCGCTCTGGCCTGCTGGTACGGCAATTAATTACTCCAGCATGGTTCAAACGACAAATTATTTGACCTGCTGCGTGCAGCTGTACGTAGGGGGGTTGCTATCGACCAGCCACGTGGAATCGAGTTGTTGAATATCATGAGACGTGCATGCACCAGAAGTTTGCTTTATTGTGGATGGTGGAAAAATTTAACTGCTGTGGGTGGTGAGAGACACGGGCAGTTGAGATTTTTTAACCAGAGGGATTGCTTTTTCTTAGGAGTGAGGCTTAGATCTATACCTAAAATTAATTTTTTTTTTTCATTTCATTTTTGATGAGACATAAATTATTATACATCTCGTGATATTAAGAATAAAATGATTGTCTCTTTTGTTTAAGCTAAAACATAATCGTAAAAAAAATCATTTTACGTACAGAATAGATGCGTTAATGATATGTCTGACTCAACATGGATACTATCTACTTAAAGAACGAAGTAACGATAAAAGCAAAGAACAAGGAGTAATACAAGGGATTAAATTTTTTCACAAACCTCGACAAATAAAATCATACAAAAAAATTATGACAAAATAAATAAGTGTAAGTAAGATCAGTCTGTTTACGTAAGGATCAAAAGATACAAAGATGTGTGTGACAGAATACTGACATCTTCTACTAAAGATATGAAGTAACGAAAGTGATGGATGGGCAGTTGAAAGAATTTTTTTTTTAATAAGCAGTACACTTAAATGGACCTAAATATTTTATTTTGTTTTATTTTAATTAAGACATAAAAATTTTATGTATGAAATAATGTAAATGATAAAGGAACGGTTCTTACTATTTGAGTTATGATTTGACTACTAAAAATTGCTGTTTCAAGTATAGAATAAAGGCTAAAAGGGTATGTCTGACTGTACTCGGATATTATCTACTTAAAGAATTAAATAAAAATAAATGAGAGGGAGGAGCATTTAAAGGCTTCATATATTATTTGTGCAGTTAGAGGAATTATTTTTTCATGTATAAAGTCTGAATGTACCTGTAGTTTAATTTTTGGTGAAAAAAAATCTTTATGAAACGTTAGTGGTTTCATACGTTAAAAAAAAAATTAAAGAGGTACTTTAGTTGTTCTCAGTAAGTCTTGAGAATAGCAATATTCTGATGACACAAGGATCAAAGGATACAATGACATGTCTGACAAAATTTTAAATTTAATTTTCATTGAGGAATTATGATTTATATTAATATGAAATAATATTGATAAAATGAGTGTTTTTACTGTTTAAGCTATAATGAAATATTTTCGTTTCAAGTATGGAATAGAGGCAGAATGGGCATGTCTGACCAAATACGGATATCATCTACTTGAAGCATAAAATAACAAGAAAGGTAAGGACTTAGCAGCTGAGGGCTTTACATTGATTGTGCGATTAAAAAGATGACTTTTTTTATTGCCAAGGGTTAAATGTAACAACAATTCATTTTTTAACAATAAAAAAATTTTTTTTGAGTATTACTCGTTTGACACAATAATAAACGAAAAAAAATAAGAAAAATTTCAATTATTTTCGTTAAGTTTTAACCATAAAAATAAAATTTATGTCCCGTAAAAATAAAAGTTACAACGATATGTCTGACGCAACACTGAACATACTACTAGAATCACGAAATAATAATAGCGATGTAGACGCTATTGAGGACTATAAATTGTATATAAAATAAAAGAGATGGTTTTTTTCAAGTCGAAGGCTTAGACCACTGAAATTATTAACTGTTTGAGTACATAACAAAGATCCTTTTTTCTCTGACAGTAATAAACTATTATAGTTAATAATAAAGCAATACCGTAGACACGTGATATGAAAGTTCTAATACTCCAAAGACCATCGCATGTAGGTAACTAGTTTCACGTCACAACGCATACATATACTCGTATGTCCTATTGAGCTATCGGGATTAATAGAGGTATGGCCATCAGCAGCGATCCTCATCAAATTATCAGGTGATTGACAGCATACGTAGCTCACGTGCATACGATCTGCCTAATGCATCTTTGTCAAAGAAACAAAATCTATAATACAGTCGGGATCTTTTCTCGTCACCCGATACACGCTCGTTTTGCGAGGAACTGGTAGACATAACTGCGTAGTGGAACACAGAGTGTGGATTAACATGTTAAAGAGACGTTCATTAGCACGTCACGTCCTGTAATTGTGCGTAGTTGGCTCACTCGCCGCGTGTGTACGTGGGGACGTGCACGCACTGTATCAGAGGGTGGACTCGACTCGATTTACTCGCTCGCAATCGATACGGCAATTTGGAATGATAATTCTAGGTGCGTGATGCCCTAACGCGCGTTGATCGAGTCCCCAAGTACTTTGATTACTTTCAACCACCGATAAACAGATTAAAAATCTCAGTTATCAAGGAACACCCAAGTTTTTTAAAATCATTTAAACTCAGAGAAACGCAAGCATAAAGGAATTCAATTTAAAAAATCTGGCTAGTCGAGCCATCAGGATACAACACGTTGATTCCTTGGATATCGGTACGAGTAAGCACATCCTCAGAGGATACGGTATACGGTAAACTATATAATAGAAGAAGAAGGAGGATTACAAACTCACGTCTACGCCTCGTCGGTCCTTCCATCTGCGCCACTCGGTAAACCCCGGCCGCCAATACTCGATGTAGTACTGTTCGGTGTACTCCAAGCCCTTGCCGTTGCCGAAGCGGCCCTGGGTGCGTGTCGAAGTCAGCACTCGCGGAGTTCGCAAGTTTATCTCCAGGTACTCTCGCACGCCCTCCTTGACTATGTTCTTCGGACACCAGGCACCTCCACCCGTGTCCTTTCGCAGCCTGTAACGAGCCAGAGAAACGAGTCATCTTTTTGCGTGGCGTTATGAATTTTGAAAAAAAAAAAAAAACACATGTCTATGTAGTTGTAAGTATCTCTAGGAAAATATTAGTATACTTCTATTCTGTCTAAAAACCAGAGGAGCATAAACATACACAAGAAACGGCAGCAACAGGAGAAAACAGAGCGCCTGGGCAATAGTAGCACCTGGTGATAACGATCGAGATCATTAGTGATGCTAATGGGCCTTTCGACCGATGAAGAGGCCAAGCCACGGTCCTGCCCAATCCCCATCCACTGTGCACCATATACCTCGAACTTTCCGCGTGACTTCGGCCTCCCTTCCGAGCTAAGACCACCACGTCCGTAAATTACCAGACGCGCCCGTGTGTATCGTGCAGGAGCCACTATGTACTGCTTCCACCTAAACCAACCCCGGTCTCGGGCCATAATTAGCTTTGACCGCGAGCCGCGAGACTTTTGCCGCTAATTTGTTGTCACTCCACGCAGCCGCAAGAGAGAGAGAGAGAGAGAGAGGCAGTGTGCTCACAGTCTGCGGTTTGCGTGGAAGCGAGCGCATCTTGAAATGCACATTTTGGGAGGACGGGGACCCTTCTCCTCCGCGAAATTTCGTTTAATTATGCTCGGGTCGCGCGCGCGAGAGCCTAATTAGATTTCTTGTTTAGATTTCGCGAGTATTAGTAGTGCTCGCGGTGCAGCGCGTCTGTATAGGTATACCTCGGATTTTGCGCGTGAATACGCAAACTCGCGGTTATTCATTTGCTCGAAGAAAACGATGGCCCATAAAAGCCTTTGACGTGGTCAAAGTGTAACCTGTCCGGCCACTACTTGTCCCAATCACAGCGGACGAGCCAAATAGGGGCACGTGCGATGCAAATCCAAATGCGCAATCAAGGAATGTTGTGTTATGCCCGTCCTCTCTTTCTCCGGGATGGCGGTGTAGTCCGGGCCACGTGCCATTATTATTATTTACCGCGTATTTCGTCAGCAGCGGCATCAACGAAGGTATGGGTGGGCGACTCTGACAACAATGCGACTATCACGAGAGATGGGCTAGAATGCCGATGGAGAGTGTATACGAGGGTCGACGAGATGGGCACCGGGAAGGGGGAGGGGGGCTGAGGGAGACGTTAACAGCATTGCTGCCTAATTAACCACAGCAGCGGGTCCGGGATGATAGTACTCGCTGGCTGGCTGCTCCCCCATTGTTGGACGGGGCGCATGCGTCCGTGTCTTTGCGTGTGCGTCCTGTACCGGCTTTGTATACGTATGGTAGTATTATACCGTGATTGTGTGTGTGTGTGTGTGTGTGTGTGTGTGTGTGTGTGTGACCGCTGAGGCTTATCGGCGTGACCTACTGCGACTAATATAACGAGAATGAAATACTTGTGGATGGGCGTGTGTACGTGTCGGTGGAAATGACGGGGTGGATTAAGATTATCGGAGCTTGTGGTATTTCTTGAAGCTATTTTGAGACTTTTTATTGGGTGCTCGATCGGATTGCCAACTTTTTTTCGTGATTGGTGTGATTGATTATTCTTTTTTTTTTACCAGTAAAAAAATTGTTATGAAACATTCTTAAATCAAAGCATTTCGTCTTGTACTATGTCTGAACGTGGGAGTAAATTTTGTTTTTCAAGTAGACTCGGTATCTTTATCGAAGTACGATAAATCATCTTTGCAAGCTCTGTTTCTCGGAAAAGATTAATGATACTGCCATCCGTACTTACCCACGAAATTCCGGACTTGGGGGTTTATTCAAACAAATGACATATCAATAGCAAGGAAAATGGTATAAAAACCGTTATAAATGAAAAGAAATGAGCGGAGAAGTCATTTGGTAGTCTTTAAATAAAATAAATTTGTCAGGATTTTTTTTTTTTTTTAAATCAAAGAAACATTGTATTTAAAGTGAAAAATGTTTAATATTTCATTTTTATAATGTTTTAATTACACGGAAATAAAATCTTGAGAAGTACATTTGTGGGGATTAAATTAATTGTAATACTCTAAGAAAGTTTGATAATACTTTTAAAAATATTGCAATGTATATTAGGATACGGTAATGCGAGTGATTTCATTACTACCATCTTTTTATTTTTGCAAAATTACATTTTCTTTATTTGATTTATTAGAGAAATAATTTAAATACTCTATACAGCCTTGCAAACATCAGATAGTATTTTAATTATTGTTAAAACTTTAATAATTTGTATAAATCATCGTAGAATTGAAAAATAAGTTACCAAAATCTAAAGATCTTTGTTACTTTTATGTAATAAAATACTGTCCCTGGTAAATGAAACGTATCGCTTGTATTTATCACTTTATAAAACTTGTTAAGGAGGTAACGTTCTCGACTCAAATAAGTATATTTGTACACAGAAATCTTTTTGGTCTCCGGAAGCTCCATCAGCTTGAATACACTTTTTACCTGTGCTCCTTCAAGTAACAGCTATGAAAAGCTCGGTAGCCTTTCGAGCCAGAGCTGGGCTCGTCAATTATAAAATTCCTTTACATATTGAGAGTCACAGTCAAAATACGTTTCGTGCTCGCCTTGATAAAAATCAAATTATTAAATTTCAATCCCCTCGCACGAAGAAAACAGCTTTTTTTATAAGATGAAACAAATTTACAAATAAATTCAAACAATATGTTTTGAAATCGGATTATTTATTAAATATTCACAAAAATGGAAATACTTAGTGTCCAAATAAAAACATGTTCGAGACAGTCCTTATACTGTTAAATTAGCCAGAAGCAATATCGACACAATATCCAATAATTACGACCAGCGTTTTCGAGATGAAAAAAAAAAACCAACTCAAAATACCAAAGAAAAAAAAGAAAATCAAGAGTAGTCGAGCTTACCTAAAAAATTCAGGCGCGCCTTTGCCCCGTCAAAAGCTTAATCAACGTAACGCATTCACGATTCCTGGCTGAGAAAGCAAGAGAGGGAGGGAGGGCCGAAAAAGCAATTTGGTAGGACGGCAAAAATGAAACGAAAAGAAAGGGGCGATGGCCCATTGAACGCCGAGCGCGGTGGCAGGGGAAAAAGTTGGCCACGGATCGCGGCCGGAGAAAGGACCCTTTTTCTCCAGGAGGGCACGGCATCGCGGCCACCACGTATAGGTACGTCGCACGCCAGAATCGATTACTCGCTATGGTCGTGGCGCGCGGGAGGGGTGAAAGTGTTATTACTCCTTCCACCGCTTCTCATATTTAAAGAGAGCACTCGCTTGCAGCTGAGATGAAAGGGAGCCGAGTGGAGGCGGAAAAAAGGCGGACGGTAACTGGAAGGTGGACGAGGCGTGTCAAAGAGAAGCCGGCTGAAATGAAAAGCGAGAGCTGGAAGGAAAAGAGCAAAACAACGCGCTGGATGAAGAATCGAGCAGCGGTGGATAGCCTGGCAGGTAAAAAATTGTGGGAACAGTCGCGAGACATGGGTGCCGGCTAGGGGTGGTAGGGGGTGGAAAGAGGCAATTTTGAGAAAAAACGCAAAGAACGCGGGTGCCAGAGTGTTCTTGATTTTTCGAGGTAGGGGAGGAAAATGCTTGCTCGCGTTGCTGGAATTTGAAGCAATTAGTAAGGAAAATAAGAGAAAAGAGCCGGGGAGTTGATGGTGTTTTTACGGTACCCGCACGGCTGGTTGCGCGAAAGAATGAGAATATCTCTTTTTTTCTTCCCTTTCCTTTTACCATCGTCTTTTTTATTTGTTTATTATTATTATTTTTTTTTTTCTTTTCACGTTACACCCACTCAAAATTTCACAGCTGTTTGGTTAACTAAAAGCACTTCACCGTGTACATCAACGTAAAGTGGGAAAATTTTGGTAGCTTGAACAAACTTATAAAATTTCAACCACAAAATCAGATATTCAATATGTGCAGTTTAGCCCGAGCAAGTCGACCGGGACCAAGCAAAGCTCGGGATGTATACAGGATGAGGTAAAAAAGGAAGAAGAAATTGATATAGTTAGTGGAGGGTGGAAGCGAAGCTTGTCGCTGTTCGGCTGCTGCTTGCATTATCCACGCAGAGCAGCACACACAGCTAAAGGGAGGGCGAGAGAGGGAGCCGTGCCTCGGCGCTAAAAGGCTAATTAAATTTTTCCATAATACTGCAATTTCGATGATAACGGCGGTTACGTGGCCTCGTTGGGAGAATCATGCAGCGGCTCACCTCCCCTTTCCACATCCCCTCTTCGCCATACCCACCTGGTACATCGAGCTCGGAAATAGGTTGCATTCCTCGGGTTTGACGCTAACTAATTTCGTTCGTAATTATGCCGGAACTATTGTAACATGACGTGCATTGCCATTGTTATATATGTACACCCCCTCCTCTAGACTCCATTAATTCTCTCTGTCTGTCTCTTTCGTTCAGATTGCAAACATTATTATTCACGCGAAAAGCGTAAGAAGTGACTCGAGCAGTTATTTAATGGCCTTCTCTCTAAAACATTTTAATAGTAAAGCCAATCGATACGGATATTCCGATAACCAATTATCCGCAAGCAATTTATTCCTTTTAATATTTCCTCGCCCATATTTATGTATGTCAGTATTGATAACTTTCACAAGTATGTTATTCCCTTCACCACTATCTCCGTTTGGAAGATATTGATCCTTACTCCAGTCCGATATCCTTTTATTTATGTGATCAGAGATACATTTAACAAGAGATGTATGTCAAAAGAAATCTATTTTTCAAGGGGGAAAAATACCAGAACCCACCTAAAGACAAACTTTATGTCGGAAAAGAAATTTTTTGAGTGGATACCTCATGCGGTAGTCAAATACTGAGTTACAGCTGTCTGTTATTATAAGCTAATTTTATTCCACTCGAAATGAAAGAAGGCGTAATGCCTGTGCTACCATGGAGGGCAAAGTCAAGCAGGTACTCCTATAGTTTTTGTACAAGTATAGCTTCTGGAATTCCCGAAAACTCTTGCCACGGCTCGGCTCGAATTTCAGCCAAAACA